CAACACAAAAACACATAACTCAAAGTAATTTTTATTATCTCTGGAAGGCAAACTATTTACAGCAGCAAAATAACAGGGAGGAGTATGAGCGTATGCCACTGTACTCTGTTTGCTTGGCCTGTGGCCTCTTGAACAGCTTCTGCTGGGAGTCCCATGATTAAGACAGCATCAGAATTTCTCTTACCATTTACTTTCTTGTTGTCCTTGTAGGATATTTGATATGGACCACTTCAGCAGCCTATTGTCTCCGTATCGGAGCAATGCTTTCTGCTGCATACAAGTATTTTTCAGTTTGAGGTGCTCGTGGCGTTTATATCCCGTTCAGGCTCTGTTCATTTGGTTTGCATTGCACAAATACAGATGATGAGGCTAATTTTGAAGACTTTTACAATCAGAAACTCTCTTTTTTGAGTTCTTAGAAAATACAGTTTAACCAATAGAAGTATGTGAGTTTGACCATGCAGGACATTCTGTGTTAATAAACTTGTAAAATGTTACTCATTATCTTGCCACAAATAAGTTAAATGCTTTGCATGTTCCAGAGCTTTATGGAAAACTGTCAAAATGACAAGCTGTTTGATAGAATTTCTAAATATTTATTCAGGAAAGTGTCACTGTAACTTTTAGTTACTTTCTTATACCTTCTTTTTATTTAAGGACTTTGTCCATAAGCTGTTTTTAATCCTGTTACAGTTTTAAAACCTCTTCGTGTGGGCTCCTGAACCCACTTTACATCCATTTAGTCTTCTGACTATTTTGCTTTTTCAGGAGTACCTCTTTGATACACTCAGGCCAGTCTGCAGGTTCATTAACATTATCTCCTGGGAAAAAAAGGGCAGTGCAAGAAGTACTGTTTGTTCACACTGGTAGATAGATGCTCTTAACTTTGGAACATGATTAAGCACAGAAATGCATGGATATGTGTAAGCATTTGAAAGGCTGAAGCCCAGCTCAGTATGGCTGAACTGTGAAGACCTGATCAACCACCAAATGATGAACGGTAGTAACTACTACTGGTAGTGTAACTCCCATCTGCTCTCCTGTGTTAAAGTGCAATGTCTCTATCACGAGTTACTATGGAGCTTCCTGACAGCTGTGTGCTGATGCACCATGATAATAAAACACTTTTGAAAATTACAGGTGTCTCTGCAAGCATTCACAGGGTTGAAGCTTACCAGACCCAGGCCTCCAACTACAGTGAATGTGCATGGTCTTCTTTTTGATTGTGTAAGTTACTGGATCAGGAGTTCTTTAGTAAAATGTCGATAGCAGTAGGAATGTGTAAGCTCAGTCTGATAGGCAAACTATCTTCATTACCTTGTAAATGTAGCATGTTTATGGCACACCCTCTTGTATGATAAGGAACCCTTAGGAATACCTATGCTGAAGACCTTGAAGAGTGAATTTCATAAAATACATGTGAATTTCAGTGATTCAGTTTCTTCCTCCACTTCTGGAAGGATTCACTAGCCCATGAAGAATGGGCCTTCTAGTGATTCTGACTTGCCAGATAATCATGAAGAAAGATGTGAATGTGCTCTCTGTCTCCTTTGCTGTTACTGTTGTTAACCATAAAGCTTGTTTTATTTCTTTTTAGGTGAGTGCTGAGTTGATTCTTTATTATGACCAGCTAGTGGCTGACATTGTTTTATGTCTGACTGGTAGGAAAGCATCACTGGAGAAGGAGCTGCATTACACGTAAAGCGGTGTTTGTGAAGAGCTACCATTCCACCAAGCTGGATGAGCCCAGGCTGACCAGGACTAATGAACATATCCTCTCAATAACACCTGATACCATGTAATGCCTGTACGAAAAAGGTAAGGCTTTTAATGACATGACTTCTATTTTAACTGCTGGCATACAACAAAGTCTCTGTGCATATCTGATAGCAGGGCACAGTTTTCAGTGAGACCCTCTGATTTTGATAAAATTACCACAGCTTTGAATGTTGTTGTCAGTGATTCATTCAGTGTTTTGAATGAAAAATAAGTACCTCTTCAAACATGGATGCAAACTGGAAAAAAATCCCCTGGAACTGTGCTTAATGTGGCATTACAATCAGAAAGGATGCTGACCTCTGATAAGGCACATGGGAGATAGGGTAAGAGAGAGGTAAAAAGCTGAGACAACCCCCCTACCTATAGCTCTGAATGGGTGAAACTGAGGTGGCAGGAGGGGGTTGAGAGGGCATATTTCTCTCCCAGGCTGGGATTTACTTCATGAGAGATATAAATGAGAAAATAATTTTCTTCTGACATGTCACCAGTACCGACATCAGGAAGAAACAGAGGTTGCTGCTAACAAGGAGTGTCTCCCCTGATGAGCAGGGAGATAGGGAACCAGGGCATCAGGAGATTTGGAGACAGCATCAGCCCCGAGCAGGCTCTTCCACTGGGCAGCAACCAGGCAGGCATGATATGAAAAGCCTTAGAATCCCATTTCAGCAGGTGTTTCAAGCAAGGAAGATGTGAGAATTCCTCACCCCAACACTGGCGCTACCACAAGAGACATGGACCCAGTGAGCTCACCCCACAGACAGTGTTTTCATGCCACAGATGGTGTTTCAGAGGTAAGTTTCAGGCCTAATTAAGTGTGTTGAAGGTGCTTTAGTGATCATGCTTTTTGTTTTCTTCCTGTGAAAACTGTGTGAACAGATCTGTGTGTATTGCTCCTGCCCTGCCTTAGGTATGATTTCATTATATAGGATATCATTATATATAGGATTTCATTATGTAGGATATAAGAAAGATTTGTAACTGAATGACTTATGGCAGGGATTTAGTGTGGAATTCAGTTGCTGTCACGTCTTGTCTTTATTTGATGAAGGAGATGAAACTTTCTGCATTTTCAGAGTATTTTAGCAAGTTCCCTGCTGTTATCTGGATGCCTGAAATGTTATTTGATGCCTTGTTGTGATTTGTATGTTTCTCACACCGGGTGACGTTAATATTTAATGAATTTTAGACCATCACAAAGAGAAAATTCGATGCACATGGTGATATAAGTACTCTCTTGTGGCAGCTCTCACTTGAGAAATTATTAAGGGTAGATTTTTTTTTCCCCTATGGCTGTTGCTTTAGAAGGGTTGTGGCCTGACTGGAATTGGAAAAGGGAAACATAGGCACTTAATACAGATTTAGAAGTAAGAAAAAGCATTTGCCAAAAGATTCAGTACATCTTTCCAATGGAATAAACCATTTGGATAGGTGAAAATCTCTTCTGGACTAGTGCATAATAATATGTACCTTGACAGGCTCATCTAGGTTTAAAATGAAGGGGAACATAAAGATGATGTTTCCCAGAAAAAGATATACATCCAGGTTACACACGTTATATTTATGTAACTATGTGTTTATAATAGTCTACACTATGTGGAGCAAATCTGGTACCCCACTCGTGTTTCTAGGGAATATAAACCCCTTTTAATAGCACGTAAATGATCGTATTTGCCTGTGCAGCTTCAACTTATACAGACTGAGGTTGGGTGATAAAAGTTAAGCTTTCTTTTCTCATAGAGACAGATTTTGCTAGTGATGTCTGCGGGTTTGCCAGTATCATTTTTTCCTATCACAGGTGCAATTTTAGCTATTTTAGGACTTTTGCTTCCTACCCTAAAGGTAGGTAAGAAATTGTGTTAGAAATGAGGTGCACATATCTTACTTTTTAGAACTAAGCTAAGGCTTTCAGACATCTTGGCTTTGGGGGTTTGTTCTTAAAAGTAACATGTAAATCTAACTGTCTTGATTCTTAAGGGGAAGGGGAAATTTATTTAAAGTAGTCCTGTGTGCACCAGCCGGCCGTGCACTTGCTTTGCCATTACATTTGAGATAGCAGCTCACATCTACCTCCCAAAGAATGAAAATAAGAACCTGTATAAATCTGAGAACAGTGTTCAGACTCGTTTGCTTCAGAGAGCGCTTATTTCCCCAAATGAAACATCACAGTTTGAAGGAAAACGGTTTGTGAAACAGGCTTGGGAGGATCTGTCACAGAAAACGCCCCTGCCACACACTGCAAGTGTCATCCCGTCCAGACAGTGCGTGTGTTTCTGTGTGCAAAAGCCGGGTTTCAGTGATGTCTGTAGGTACTACAGCCCGTGTTTCTACCTAGGATAGGAAAAGGTGGATCTGCAAACGGGAAGCGTTAAGGAGAGGAGCTGCAGAGGTTGCAGCACCCGCCGGGTAGCGAGAGACTGGAAGGGAGGGAAGGGAGCGAGGCCCCGGTAGCTGTCACCCTGCAGCTCCCCAGCCCCTCGGGCGAGGTGAGCCCGAACCCCGATGTGGAGAGCTTGGGCCTGAGAAAGCCCCTCCGGGCAGGGGGGCAGCGGCGCTGGGAAGCGGGACTTTGTGTTGCGGCTGCCGCGGGGGGGGGGGGGGGGGGGGGCGCAGAGAGGCCGGGAGCGGAGCGGGGCGGGGGGGGAGGACCGGAGGAGAGCCGGGACGGAACCTCGGCGGCCCCGGCCGGGCGGGGAGCGGAGCCTCGCCGTGGCGCTCCCGCGCTCCCTCCCGCTCTCTTTCCCTTCTCCCCGCTCGCTGACAGCCGGCAGGACCTGCCCGCAAGCACCAGCGGCTCTGACACCAGTCGGGCTGCGGGGCCAGGGACGAGCCCTGCGGAGGCAGCCGCGCTCTGCCCAGGTACCGGGGTTTGCGCCGCACCAGCCCTGCCCCAGTTTCGTCCCCTCCTTGCTCCTCTGTTACCTTTTCCTCCTCCTCGTCTTCCCTCCTCTTCTCCTCGGTCCCCTCTCTGCCGTTCCCCCCGCCCCACCCGCGGGCGCAGCCCCCGACGCCGCGGCCGGTCCGGGCGGTGCTCGGCGGGGCCGGGGAGGGAGTGGCCGGGCATCTCCCGGCAGGGAAACGGGGTCTGGGGCTGGCAGCCTGTCTGTGCGTGTGTGCGCCGGGGGGGAGGGAGGCCTGGGGGCCGGGGGGTGCCGGAGGAGGGACTATGGGGAGAGGAAGGTATAAGAAGGGATGCGGGCAGGGGAGGGGGGTGATGGAAAGAGGGGGTGCGGGGCCGAGGGGCAGGCGCTGACAGCCGCTTTCCCCGCACCCACAGTCCCCTCCCCCGGTGCCGCCGTGGGGTGGGACTCCCCGGCGGGCCACTGTCTGCCGTCCTGCTACCCTTACCCACCGTCGGTGCTGGGCCGGGCTCCCCCACCCGACGGCGCGTCCCCGGGACAGCGGCTCCTTCCGGGACGATGCCCCGGCGGCTCGGCGGGGGCTGGCCGGTGGCTCCAAACCTCGTCCCGGCCGCCGCTGTCCTCCTGGGCGCGCTCTGCTTCCCCGGGGCGCTGGCCTCCTCCCTGCTCACAGGTAAGCGGGCGCGGAGGGGCCGCTGAGGGTGCGCGCTGTCCACCGGCCGCCGGGACCCGCCGTCGGGCACGGGAAGATGCCACCGCGTGGTTTAGGGCAGGTGAACGCGGGAACCTCGCTCCCCCCACCCCCCCATCTCCTTGAGGGTGATGTTTTCCTGACATCTGGGACACGGAGGGAAACGCCGAATCAATTTCTAGGGCAATCGAGGAGCCATTAGTTTGTGGGAAGTGATTCCAACGTGACACAATAGCGGCTAATCAGCGCTAGGGCCATAAAGGGATTTCTAGTTTGATGCCGTTTGACAGTCAGCCTGCTAATTTTGACTCATTTGCCAGTTGGCCGCCGTGCGTTACAAGGATGCTTGGTTCTGCTCTCGTGCTATGCTCCTGGTCCAAGTCCTTGCAGTGTGATGGACAGCTTTCTGCTGATCTCAGTGAGCTCTGGAGCTGTTGTTACAGAAGTGCCCTGCTTTGCGTGGAGTACTCGTTATTCTCCACACGTCATCTGGGAAGAGAAAAAGCGTCCTTCTTTGCTATAACTGGGGCACAAAGAAAGTCTAGGTTGGTGTGGCAATAAAGGGCCAGTCATTCCCTTTGGAGTCTTACAGAAACGCTGAGTGTCCTTGCTTGCTTGAAGTGGGCAAAGTAAGGCAAGATTTAAAATCAAAGGCTAGGGGTTAAACGTGAGTGTAATGAGGACAGTTTTCAGAGCCAGCTGGGGGAATTCTGTCAGTGTTCTAAAACCTGTGTTTCTGTTACAGGATCTGTTGCAAAATGTGAAAATGAAGGGGAAATTCTGCAGATACCGTTTATCACAGACAACCCCTGTATAATGTGTGTTTGCCTGGTAAGTTTGAATTTCAGATAGGAAGAACATTCAGGCCTGTGCTAAGAGTAGCTGCATGGAGAGGGGAATATTTCACATAATCAAATCTTGGGTACCTCTGTCACCTTCATGTAACACAAGTTTATCTCAGAGCTGAGCTAATGGAAACTAATCCCATCCATGATCTGGCAGTCATTTCTTTGGCTTTAAAACTCTGGGTCTCAAAGTTGTACGTGACTTTAATCTGACATCATGAAACCACATTTATTATGTGAATTTGGGCCAGGGGGGTGCACACAAAAGTCTTTGCATGTAGTTCAGTAAAGGGAGTGAAAGGTAAGGCTTGGAAATGCTGCTGCTTCGAGCTCCCACATGCTTAGTGTCATACGGTGGTGGCTGAGGAGCTGCACCACGGTGCAAGGTGAAGGCTGCAACGTGACTCTACATGCTGTAGTAAGATGACGGTGAAACCACAAGCAATGCTTTTATTGGGGAACTTTGTTCCAAGGATGACACTGCCTGCTGTGCTGGGAATGCAGTGGTTAATAATGTCACTAGCTGATACACATTTTGGGGAGAAACATTCCCTTTCCTTATAAACTCTGCTTTGGAGTTAAGTGTTTTGGGGATAATTCAGCTGGACAAGCCAAGGCTTAGGAGATACTGAAAAGCAGTCGTTCTAAATAAAACTCCCTACAATGTATTTAAAAGAAAGCCATAAAACCTTAATTTGCTGTTGAATGCAAAGGGAAGTATAGACCAGAAAGCACTATGTTTTACATTTTGGAAGTTATAGAGTAGCTGAGTGTACAGAATGTGCTCTACTTTAGGACTGAAATACCAGCACGCTCTCTCCCCCCTTCTATTGTTGCTATTAATATTATTAGCATTAGCCAGCATTATCATGTCTGTAAAAGACTTAAAGAATTGTTTCAGACTGCTTTTTAGAAGGCAGTTTTGGCAACTGTAGGTCTCTGATCTTGAGCCCGTCAAGACTGATGTATATCGATGCATTGACTTCTATAGATTTTAAGTGAGACTCAGTTATAACTTTTTAGCTAATAGTAATAAAGAATAAGTTATCAGTTCTTCTGAGTAGAGGAGGAGGAGGATGGGATGTGGTAAGTAAAGAAATCAAAGGGAAAACAAAAAAAGAGACAAAGCTGTGTTTTATCATGGATCACCTTCCCAAGTATGTCTGCCACCACTCTTGCTAATGGAAGCTGGTGTTAACCAGTGAGGAAGCAATTTATCTGTGAAGGAGCAGAAGTTCAGCCTTGGGCATCAGGGCAATAATGCATCAGGGTAAAATACTTGTATTTATAGATCTCTCTAGACCTTGGCTGTATGAAATCAATGAGCACCCTTTTAGTGCATGAACATGAAGAACTGCAAAAAGTATTGGATATAAGAACTCTAAATCTCTGTGGTTTCTATGGCTTGCTTTAGTGAAATGGCAGCCGAGGGCATTTGGCTCCCCTCTGTGCAAGGAGTACACTATGTCTTCTTAAGAGTACAGATGCCTAATGAGTTCCTGCAGTTACCTGCACTGGATACGCTCTCTTTTATTTTTGCCAAAGGATATATATGATCTCTCTTTCTTGAGCTGGAAGCTGGGAGACCTGGTAGAGGAGAAGGAAACCAGTTTGGAGGTACTGACTTTAACGCTGTGCAGCATCCAAAACAATTGGATAGCCCCTTGCTGAAATCTTTGTTCAGGCCTGCTATGATGGAGAAGATCAATTTTAAGAGGTCTGGGGAGAGCAGAAACAAAAGAAATGATGTGGTGATTTGTGTCCAGGAGGGAAGAAAGAACCAGGTTTCCTTACATCCAACTGGAAATATTGATTGTTTAATAGCAATTCAGTGAGGAACGTCCTCTGGAAAACTGCTCATACTCTTCAAGTGCATACCTCATGGATGTTTGTATTGTAAGAAAGGAGCAACTAGAGTGGTTAATCAGCTGTTCCAGGAAGGATGCAATTGCTGTCCAGGAGAGGACAGAACATTCAACAGAGGGCACTTGTGTTAAAAACACCAGTAACGTGAGTAACTGAAATATGGGATTCGATTATGGCAGGTCTTCCGTACCGGTGATTCATTTCCATGGCTGCAAGCTGCCATAAATAACTGGACAAGTTACAGAAATCTCAATGGCTCTGGGAAGAAAAGGAATATCTAAATAACTCCCTTCCAGGACTTTCCCTATCTCACAAATGAGAGAAGACAGAACTGAAATATGAGAACTGAATCATCAAGTGTTTGACAGAACCGACTCTGTAGGTTGTGTCCTGAATGGGGATGCATCCCAGAAAGGGAAAAGAGGGAGGCAGCATAAGCAAAGTGATCTCCATCTTTCTCTTCACAGGCTAAATCACTTGGGAGGGCAAAGCAACAGGTAGTGAGCTCTACATAAGCTCTTAGCTTCTAGCTCTTGTTTTAGAGATACTGTTGATCATGAGTACAGAAAGGACACTGGTGTGGATCTCCTAGAGACAGGCAAGTCTAACTACCAAACAAGATGAGTTCTTTCTTGAACACCTGCTGTAACATATGAGAAGATAAGTTGTGGTGGTAGGGGAGTTCAGACTGGGCAGCATGTGCTGGAGATTTTGGGAATGGCACATAGGCATCCACTTCTAAAGTACAGGTAATGCTGTTCTAATAAAAAGGCACTGCATGCACCATGAGATAGCTCTGCTTGGACTTCCCGATTTGTGAAAACGAAACGTGGTGGAGTGTGCATAGCAGCACTGATGCTTGCCCTTAATGTGAGGAAATAGGTAAGGCTCAGTATGTGTGTTTGTAAATGTACATTGCAGCTCCAGGTACAAGAACAACCAGCTGAACAAGCCACTACAGATCAGATGTGGAGTTCCCTAATTTGTATATGTCTCTACTTTATGGTCTTAATAATGCCCTTAAAAATAGTAACTTTTAAAATCTGTAAGACAATAGTTTCTGTGTGAGCCTTTACAATTACAACACTTTAGCAATGGTGTATCGCTGTCCAACTAATCATCTCTAAGCACTTAATAAACACGGGATGGATTTGATCTCCAAAGAACTGGTCATTAATTACAGCTGACTGCAAGAAGTGGCCACTTTTATTTCATTTTTAGAGAGAAACATCAAAGTCAGAGAAAGATTGTGGTTTATCCACAAGGAATTTCTTGTGGGAGTGTGATGAAAGCTCAGGTCTCCTAACTCCTGGTCTAATGGATTGACTACAAAGCCATCCCTTCTCACTTCATGCACTTTCACTTTACAAGTGGATGTGGGTAGTATAGTCACAGTATGATTGCACTCGTTCTTTTTCTGTCTCTCTGACAATGGGCAGGCTGCACAGATGCCAGGATTTTGGTGTGTTGGCTCTCCTCAGTTTGTTTTGAGGCACAGATGGACAAAGGCAGATTAAAGCTGACTTCATGATCCAGAGGTTTTGAGAACTATGATTTATGACTTGCCATTGCTATCTGCTTAGTGCTGTTAGAGCTAGTGTGCTTTGGTCTTCTGCCCACTTCCACTTTGCATGTCTGTGGTTCTGCATCTCTGAGGAGACATGCTATCTCCGGAAAGCCACCCTGGCACTTGGCTTTCCATAGGGTTTGGGATACCGAATAGGACAAAGCAGGCTGAAGGCAATTAAGAGTTTTAGATTAGGTATTAGAAACAGTGTCTTCCTTGAAAGGGTGCTCAGGCATTGGAACAGGCTGCCCAGAGCAGTTCTGGAGTCACCGTCCCTAGAAGTGTTCACACACTGTGTAGATGAAGCCCTCGGTGCCATGGGTTATTGGTGGCCTTGGCAGTGCTGGGGTAATGGTTGGACTTGATGTTCTTAAAGGTCTTTTCCAACCCAGCTGATTTTATGGTTCTATGATTTTGAGAGTACCTGCTTTCTCGAGCCTTCACTTTATGTGCTGTTCAACAAAGATACTGTCAAAAGCACTGGCATCTTAGTATTCAGATCTAATAGGTAAAACAGATACATGGAAGTTGCACTAGAAAATGTTTTTTTTTGTGAAGCTAGGTCACATAAAAGTGCAAGACAGCCCATTTCTGAGGGCCATGGCTGAACATCCTGTTGCAGCTGTGTTTATAGCTACAGACTTCTCTGATGAAAGGATGGAAAATGATGCAAGCTGCAGCAAGCTCTGTATCAGAGGAAGATGAACAAGCAAAAGGAAACTCTGGATATGATGGGCAGTAACAAGGACTAAGTCAAGCAACTCTGTGAATTAAAAATACTGTTGTCAAAAAGAGGGAAAATATTATTCCAGATAACGATGTGGCCCTTGACAGTACAAAGAAAATATGTCAGAGAACATGTGATTGTGAAATTATTTTATGCTTAGTGGTCAATGGTAAGAAAATCTCATGTCCTGCTAGTTTCTGAAAAATCAAAGTAGGGCAAGTATGGGTTATGAAAGTGACTTGAAAAAGTTTGGGTTTTAAAGAACTTGCCTGAATTGGCAGTGATGATTATAGGCAAAATACATAATCCTGATGGTTTTCATAACAGAATTATATTGATTCTGTTTGAGAAATGGATTCTTATATTCTGGTTATTAAATGCTTTAAGATGCAAGCGATTGTAACTGCACTACTTAATGCAAAAATTATCTTCTAGAAATGCTCTCCTACCTCTCTAAGCTCCCTGTGGCCTGGCAGTGTGCACTTGCAGCCCAGAAACCACCTGTGTCCTGGGCTGCATCCCTGGAGCATCAGGTCAAGGGAGGGGATTCTTCCCCTCTACTGTGCTCTGGGGAGACCCCCCTGCAGTCCTGATCCAGCTCTGGGGCAACAGCACAAGAGGGAGGTGGAGCTGTTGGAGCAAGTCCAGAGGAGGCCACAGAGGTGCTGCAAGGGCTGGAGCAGGTCAGCTCTGGAGCCAGGCTGAGAGAGCTGGGCTGGTTCAGCCTGGAGAAGAGAAGATTCCTTAAGGAGAGACCGTAGAGCAGCTCCAGTGCCTAAAGGGGCTACAAGAAACCTGGAGAGGGGCTTTGGACAAGGGCCTGCAG